GGGGGGAGGGCAGAGGGCCGAGGGCGGGGGAGGGCGGGGGAGGGCGGGGGAGGGCGGGGGAGGGCGGAGTGCGCAGCCTCCTCAGTGTGCCCCTGCTGAGTGGCAGCAGCCACCCTGCGGCTGCCTGAGGGGGCATGTGAGATGCTCCTCCTATTCATCAGCTCTGGGGGTGAAACGCTGGTGTGCTTTAAAATCCACAGACAGCGTCCCGGCCTCCGGGAGCCCTGGGCGGAGGCTCGGCTGCCCTGGGGAAGCAAGGCCAGCGCGCAGCTGCTGTCTCCGGGGAGCTGGGCCGCCCTCAGGGCTGTCTCCCCGTCCTGAGACGCAGGGACCGGTCCTGCGAGAGAGCTGCCCAGAGCTCAGGGCACAGCACCTTCTTCCCTAAATTCCACGTGAAGGAAATCAAGGCTAGCGTAAAACCCCTCGTGCTGCATCTTGGCCGGAGTTCGTCCGGCCGTCCGGCCGCTGCGGGCCGGCAGCAGCAAGGTGCGGGCCTGGGCGCCGCCGCTCACTCAGGGTCGGCCATCGGTCTTTATTATTTCCATGGGGAGCTACTCGAGCACGTGCCTGGTACGGCAGGTGTGTTCTGAGCTCCTCTCAAGATCACGTCACACCCTTCCCGTCGCGTCTGCCGTCGGGAGCCGTGATCACCGAGAACCCCTCACAGCCCATGTGCGGCCCCAGGAGCAGCTGCGGAAGGGACGGCTCTGCTGGGGTTGTGTCAGCCCCGGGCCTCGGGGCTGGCGCCGGGACAGGCGTCTACACCTCTTCGAGCGCTCGACTAGGTTGCCAGAGCTGTTCAGAGAGGCTGCAGACCCGGCCAGTAGCCTGGGTGGGTGTGTGGTCTGAGTCGTGCATTTGTGTAGCTGAAGGGAGTGGTGGCTTCCCTGGGGAGTCCGTGCCCAGCGGCGGCGGCCTGTGTGCCCAGCGCCGGGGCCTGTGTGCCCAGCGGCGGCGGCCTGTGTGCCCAGCGCCGGGGCCTGTGTGCCCAGCAGCGGCGGCCTGCGCCGGGGCCTGTGTGTGGGAGGCAGGCTCTGCTAGCCTCGGGGTCTCAGCGTGACCTGGACGTTCCACTGTCATGCGGTGGCCGCGGCCTGGACCCCGCCCAGCCCCACCGTGGGCTGCCGTGAGTGAACGCGAAGCCCGCTCTGCACTTGGTGCTGGCCTCGTTCCCAAGGCCGGGCAGGGCTGCGGGAGCAGGAAGCTTGTCTGGCGTGACCTTTGCCCCCCACCCGAACTGTGACCTGGAGCCGGCTGCCCAGCGCGTCCCAGGGACGGATGCAGCCGTGATGACATGCTCACCACCCCCAGAGACCACCAGGGGCGTGCAGGCGACCCTCCTGCACCTCAAAGCTGGGGCCCGCAAAGCCCCGGGCTAGGGGCCCTCCGGGCACCGTGGGGATCTCCTGGCGGTGATCTTTGCCACACAGGACCAGGTGAGGATCCGCTCCTTCTCCCCACACTGCAGCCAGCCCGCCGGCCCCCCACTCAGAGCAGCGGCCCAGCCTCACCCGCCGCCGGCGTCTCTGTCCGCCCTTCATCTTCTCCAGCAGGAGTTTCTTGTTCTGGCGTGGGGAGAAAAGAAAACACACATGCACAGGTATGGATCGGATTTGGGGGCTGTCTGTTGTCAGAGCAATGCAGGGCGTGTCTGCTAGCTGTCTGCATGCGTGTATTTTGGAAAGCTAGCTGGAAGGAACGCGGGTCCGAGGCGCCGGCGGGAGCAAGGCCGCGTCACCCACACTCACAGACACGGGGCTCTGAATCCTACTCTTCGCATTGAACAGCCCTCGTTTAACATAAATAAGCTCATCTCAGCATCCGACCCCTCTCGAGCCGTCTCCCTAGGACGGCGCCGCCGCTCTGCGGGCCTCGCCCGGGGCACCGGCGGGGCTGCCACACTTTAAAAACTACCAAAAAGCCCAGGTTCTTGGCAGAAAGGCCAGCGCCGCGGGAGGGAGAGAAGGGCTGCGTGAGCCCGTTTGTGCGAGTGTCTCCACACCCGCGGTGTCCCCAGCGCGCTGCTCACGCAAGGTCTGGACCCGCACACGCACGGAGACTGTACAAGGCAGAGCGCGAGGCCCGGAGGCCGTGGGGGGGGGGGCGCCGGCTCCGCTTCTGCTGTTTATTTACTTTATTAATCACCAGGACAACAGCGTGCGATGGGACGGGCCGTCCATCGATCCTGCTCTTGATACCAACTGACTTTTTCTTTGGTGGGGTAATATTCTTCCAAGTGTGGAAAGCTGAAAGGAGAGGAACTTGGAGACGTTAAGGAAGAACAGCCCAGATGACACGGAAGGCGGATTGTGTACTGGAAAACCTGGAGGAAATGTAGGCGAGGAAGAAGGGGGACTCAGCCCGGAGCGGGACGCTGGCTCGCGTCCGTCACCGTCCTCGGTGCGGAGCGGGTTCACACCACACTTGTGTCCAGTGCGGAAGTTGCTTTCGTGGTGGGAGATGGAAAGAGAAGACGCCGAATGCGAGAATGAGCTGCAGGATTTCCCGATGTGCCGGGGGCCGGGCCTCCGCGCGGGGGCACGGCTCTGCCAGGGACGGGCTGGTTGATATCCCGGGCAGGCCTGGCCTGGCACGGCCCCGCAGGACGGGGGACACAGCAGCCTCGCTGCGCCAGCCCTCGGGTGCGGGGCGGGGCTCGGGTGCGGACAGGAGCACGTCACACTGGCCTCCGTCAGCCTCCTCTGCAGGGCCCGCGCAGACCGCACCCGTAAGTCTCCATTCGACAGCCGGTGGCAAAGGCCTGCGGGGCCTTCCTTCCTGGAAGACGCTGCGCTTCCCTGAGCATCAAGACTCCACGACTCGTGATGGCGCCCGGTATGGGCTTAAAGGCAGGCGTAGAGAAACCACCAAGGTCGGCGCCCGCGGGGTGGGTCAGAGCCTGTCACCGCGCGAGCCGTGGCTCACGTCCGTGGCTCTGTCACGGCCCTCGAGCACCGGCCGGCTCTGGAGGCGGGCAGAGGGGCTCTCAGAGAAAACGGCTCCAGCATGAGGGCCAGGAAGAGCGCGGGTGAGGGAGGCTGGCCTGTCCAACGAGGACTCACGCCACGGGAAGGAAGGCCAGCCTGGAGAGAGGCCAGCCGGCTGGTTTAGGACATACTGGCCATCAAAACTAGACGCAGGAGTTCAGGGGTCAATGCGTGTGCACATGACTCAGTGCTCAGAGCTCAGGGCGAGCTCCAGGAGCCGCTGGAGTGTGGGCACCACCACAGCCAGCGCTGCACGCCCAGCGCGCCCCCCAGAGCAGCCAGGGTTGTCCAAGGGCAAGCGATGGCTTTTCACTAGCAACACACGAACCAGAGCAAGAGCACAGGTCCGGAAGGACACTGCCGCAGGAGGTGGACCTGGTGGAGCGGAGCGTGGAGCGGCGGCTCTACCTGCCTGACGACTGTCCATGGTCAGCATCCAACGCTCCCCACGCGGAGAAACGACAACGTGCCGGGCTGCGGGCGTCCCTGCCACAGCCCGCCTCCCGGTGCGCAGAGGGCCGCACAGTCCAAGCCCACGGACTCCTGAGAAACACCCGACCTGCAGAGCCCAGGGCTCCTCCGCGGGCGACGTCTCGGAAGGCAGTCAGGGGACGCTGGCCCTGCTTCCTCCCTGCAGGCGTGGCTCGATCAAGCTCTGGTGACAAGGCTGCACAGCATTTGGGATGAAGCATTCACTCTTGGAGGTGACTTCCTTGAGAGAGCACCATTCAGCACTGTGTAAGGGGAGGACCGAGTCACAGAGGTCAGCACTCAGCTGTGAGTGTGTAAGGGGAGGACCGAGGTCGCAGAGGTCAGCACTCAGCTGTGAGTGTGTAAGGGGAAAGAGATCACAGAGGTCAACACTCAGCTGTGAGTGTGTAAGAGGACAGAGGTCGCAGAGGTCAGCACTCAGCTGTGAGTGTGTAAGGGGACCGAGGTCGCAGAGGTCAGCACTCAGCTGTGAGTGTGTAAGGGGACCGAGGTCACAGAGGTCAGCACTCAGCTGTGAGTGTGTAAG